TGATGTGAATAATGACTTTTTTACTGATTAGGTCAGAAGACTAATATGTAGCAAAATAAATAATTTTTCTTTTCATTTTTTTTCCCGATTTTTGCTTTAAATTAACTACTGAAATCTGGTGGATTCACACTGCCCCCTGCTGCCTAGAAATAGATATTAAAAGTATATTCCCATCCAAAGGGGTTTCTTCATCACTTTGGTGATCTTATTTGGAAAGTCTACTTGATGGGTCCTTCCTTATCAATATATTTGAATTGCATAACATAATAAAGGCTGATACTTGGTGAACACAAAGAACACTTGATAATCAAACAATACAATATACTATTTGCTATTAAAGGGAGGTGATGCAAAACATACAAATTTTCTTTGTAAAGCTTACTACAAAGAAGGAGGGGGAAAAAAGACATTTTCAGCAAATCAACTTTCTCCTAATGCATCACTTTCAAGGGCTACAACACCTAGTCCAGTGGGGTCAGTACCCCTGATCTTAGCACAGTGTGTGTCACAGAGGGGAGGGTGTGTGTGTGTGTGTGTGTGTGTGTTCCCTACTCCTGCCCCTCAATACCATCGAAAGGAGATGACTGAAGGCTCCGCCTGTCACTGAGGATCTTCCCCACCTTGTCATCTCCCCTTTTGGCAGGTATCAACATGAGCGGAAGGCCTTAGGGCCCAGGACACAGCAGGCTACGAAAGACACTAGAGCAAGCGACAAACAGGCCTAGACTTGGAGACGAGGCTAAAGACTTTTGTAGGTGAAATGATGAGTTTGAATGGTGGTCAGGGGAGCAAGTGGAGGTTTCCAGGTGGGGTCAACATTCTAGTTCTGAATTTCAGTTTCTATATCTGCAAAAAGCAAACAACACTGACCCGCCTTAAGGGATTACTTTGCAGAGGAGAAATGGGAATCCTTGTGCAAAACACAGTATAAACAGTCCTCCCAAAATGCTGGTTCCCTTCCCTGGGAAAGATAACGATGGCTCTGGGGAATGTGGTTTGGCATGGACAAAGGCTAGAAACAAGCAAACCCCTGGAGGAGATCATGAACTCATCATAATCTATACCCAGCAATGGTGAGAGACGAAAGACAGGGAAGAGCATTAGGAATGGAGAAAAGGATCAGGTCTGAGAGATATTTGGGAAGTAGAATCAACCCCTCTTGGTGGCTGACTGGATATGGTGGTGAGGAACCTAACACTATGTCCAAATTTCTAGACAACTAATGGATCCATGGGACCATCAATAGAGAAAAGGGCAGGTTTTCTCATGTTAATTTTCAATCCTACATGATTTTTAGGTAGAGATGTTCAATTAGAAAAAAAAAGAGCTAGGAAAAAAATCAGAGTTTGGGAAACAATCCGGATTCAAAAGGTTTGTAATGTCTGTCTGAGGGATTCAGTAAACCAGTAGACACACTGAAACCACGTCATGTGCAGAGATTCCTTTATGTGACTTAAAACAGGAAGTGGCATGTATGGACACATGTACTCTGAAAAGCAAGGCAATTCGTGCATTTTACCGGACCCATTTTAAAGACAATGATTGTTGTTTAATGAATTGGTACATCTTTTGATGGGATTTTAAAAAAGAGCACAGTGGACGGGGAAGAGGAGCAGAAGGAGGAAAAGGGAAGGGAGTGTTCACATTTTATTTGGGACTGGGTCGCAGGTAGCAAATAAAAGCCTGATGGGTCATGCTTATTCGTATACTAACACAGTCCTATGAAATGTCACTGCAAAAGGGTGAGAAAGGATACAAACTTGGGGAGTTGTTTGTAAATCCTTTACCTTGGGATGATGGGCTATTGTAGCCCCTGCCCACCCCAATCCCATCCCCATCAGTTAGCATCGTTTTCATTGCTCATCTGCCGGTTCATTCCACAAACATGCACTGAGAAGCTGTGTGTTCTCAGTGACAGGCCCTGGGGACTGAAAACCAATAAGGTGGAGGCCTCATAAGCCTGGGAGGCTAATTCAATGCCTGTCCTCACTGACTCTGAGGGGCAGTCGGGGTCCCTGCCCTCAGCAGCCTCCCGAAGGACACACAAGACAAAGGAGCTCTCAGTGACCTCAAGGTGCCCTACCCTTTGCTGGGTGGTGGGAGAGAGCAGCATCCATGCATGTGCAGAAGAGCTTCAGGCCAAGGCAACAGCGGTGGTTAGGAGGCTCAGGGAGGCTTGGGGTAGGGGTGGGTCATTGAATATCAACCAAGGGGCTCTCCTTGAACATGCTTTTTAATGAGCCCTGGAGAACAGCAGGCAGTATAAGAGAGGGTTCTACCCTTCACACCTCTGGAAGAAAACCAAAGAGAGGATGGTAACTTGACAACACCAGACATTTTAGTGAGGAGAATGGCTTCACAGACTCCTAGTTGAATCAAGTACTAAACAAGGATGGAGATTATCCTTAATTGATGGAGCATCATTTCTAAGTACATTTTAAGCACTGAAGATTTTTCATTTTAATAAAACATTTGTACACTCAATAAAATGGTTCTATACAAAATTAAAACTCAGTTGAGCAATAATACAAAAAAAATGTAAATAAAGTATTGTTATAAGACTGTGTCAAAATATAAAAGCAGACTGACCCAGTCTGGTAATTTTATAATCCCCAAGGAGAGGGAGGGTATATATTTTTAAAAGAGTAGCGTAATGAAGGCTTCTACATACACATGGTTTCAGTTCTCTTATAGTCAAAGTTTCCTTCCATGCACTGGACATCTTGCAATGGTCACAGATAAAACGGAAAAGTAAAAGTTACACAAGAGAATGAGATGAAAGCATATTGGTGAAAAGAAAATGAAAATTTCAACCACTGTTCAAGCAGGCTAATAATAAACGATGTGCCCACAAAATATATCTGTATGCAAGCTACATGTTTTCCTCAGCAAAATAATAAACTGCAAGAATTAAATTCCAAAGCCCACAGTCATTTGATATTTCAACAAATTCATCTGGTGGGATAGGGGAAAATATTTATGACCTTCTAATGTTCATCTGGAATTCTCATTTATAGAAAACTAATATACAGGTGCACACACACCTATACAGACACACAATTTTAACACGCATCATGATAAGCAGCAACAACCAAACTTTTGTCAGCATATATCACTGATTATACCTGTCATGGAAAAAAGTGAAATATTGAAAGCTCAAGTTACAATATTTGATGTAGAAATGTCATATAAAAGTAATTTCAATTTCACAAGTCTAACACACACCTTTGAAGTCAAGTAACCTTTCTACATTTGCTACTTGCATAAAGGGATTGAAAATCTCTCTCCCATATCACCCAACAATATTGAGGGGGGAAAAATAAAAATAAAATAAAAATAGTTAAACAGCCGAAACCGGTTTGGCTCAATGGATAGAGCGTTGGCTTGGGGACTGAAGGGTCCCGGATTCGATTCCGGTCAAGGGCATGTACCTTGGTTGCGGGCATATCCCCAGTAGGGGGTGTGCAAGAGGCAGCTGATCAATGACTCTCTCTCATCGATGTTTCTAACTCTCTATCTCTCTCCCTTCCTCTCTGTACAAAATTAATAAAATATATTTTAAAAAATAGTTAAACATTTACTATTAGATTAAATGTGTTGAGATGATAAACTTTTCATATACTGTATTTGAATTGTTTCTCAGTTGAATACAGCTGACATCCCTCACACCATCACCCTAGGAACCACTGGTTCCTACTTCCTAAGGTGGCTGGGAACATGAAATAAGATGATGTAGCAGAAAGAGACTTGGAAACTACCTAGTGAGTAACAGAAGTCAATAATCAAGGCCATATTTAAAATTAGAGAGAAAAATCAGGAGGGAAATAAAATAACTGAGCAGGAAACAAATAAAAAAAATTTCTATTTACTAACCTCATGTCATATTCACAAGGATAGCAGAATTAAATTGTGTGGATTTATCATTTTAAAATTTTTATTTTCACTCTTTATAATGCTGTAACAAATGCCAGCAAAATTCATACAAGTGAGGGAAATGGGAGGATCCCAAAACAGGGAATTATTACTGAACTCTGTGTAAAATATCTCATACCATCTGCCCAAGAAGTCCCCTATCTTCCTCCTGAGCCAAAGGGTTTTCATCCAAGAAGAAATAATGGTCTTCAGAATCAGAAAGGCCCACCACTCATCAGCCATGTCACCTTGGGTGCATTGTGAATCTCTGATTTTTTGCTGTAAAAATGTGCAAAGAGCCTGGCTGGCCTGGCTCAGTGGTCAAGCATTGACCTATGAAGCAGAAGGTCACAGTCGATACCTGGTCAGTGCACATGTGTGGGTTTTGGGCTCAGTCCCCAAACATCACTGATGTTTCTATTTCTTTCTCCCTCTCCCTTCCTCTCTGAAATCAATAGAGGTATTTTTTTTTTAAAGAAATAAAACAAAATACCTAAAGTTGCTGAGGACTGAAGGTGAAACATTGGTGTGAACTCACAATAGGCTTTTTTTTCTCCCTGCCCTCACAGAGCCTTCCTGATCACCCCAGCAAGTCAAGGGAAGATGCACAGATCACTCATTTTTCCAGCATGTATTGCTTGGGAAGTTCATGTGCTAATTAAATATATATATGACTTTGTGATATATTAGCTTCTGTTACTGAATTCTTAAAGGACTATCCAACTTATTGTGCATTTGTGGTTATTTCACGTGGAATCCAGACAGCACTGCTTCAAATCAAGATCTGTTCCAGCGTCATCTCTCCGGCCCTGGCAGTGACCCCTGTGCGTGGTTGTTGAGCTTCTCTGCTGCCCAAGGGTGGTGGGGATCTGGGGTGAGCAGGGAGGGTGGAGGCCATGAGCTAGGGCTCGAGAGCTGCAGCTGCAGCTGGCTCCTAGGAGCTCTCAGCTCGTGTCCTGGAGAAATTCTAACAGCGGAGACCACATCCCTCCCCCATTCCGTTTTACCTGTCAGCTGGTGAGGTACCGCCTGTCACGACAGAGGGAAGGACTGTGAAGGGCGTGTTGGCAGGATGCTAGCTCACATACCTGGATGAGATAATGGGAACATAAACTGAGGAGCTCCAACAGCTGCAGGTGGCTGCCAGCCGCTAACACATCCTGGATCACACCCGGCTCCAGCAAAATCTGTTATTTAATGAAAGGAAAACTACCAGTTACTTAAAAATTAATACCAGCTTAACATGGAAAATAGATGGCTATATTTAAATTGCCACCTCACATGCCCTGTCTTAATTATGGAAGTCACTTCTTTCCCACATGCTGATTAACAAGCTGTGGCCCTCACTCTAATAGCAGACTTCTCATTTCCTATACTCATTTCATGTGTGTAAGGCTCTGCACCTAACAACTTGTTTTTGTAGGAGTATATAAACCACTTGCAAAGAATAATATAATAGTATTAAAATTCACTATTTAAAAATAAACAAATTTTACTTTTTCTAAAAACTAATCTCATTTAAAAAACAAATTTTAGTTTTTCAAAGTATATTTCAGAATTTTGTAACAGTATGATTAACAGATACTTCAGGGATAAGGACTTATATTTCTACTTGCAATATGAGACCAGAGGTGATATTATTTCCTTTTACTTCCACGTCCAGCAACAGTAAATTTCAACCATAAACTTCCATTTTTCTCAATCTCCGATTCTCTAATATTTTCTATTTCTAATGAAAGATGAAGAAATAGCATCCTCATAACAAAGACATCACAGAGAAGTAAAACTTCTCAGATATACTGGTGATATCAACTCTTCATTTTTTTCTGGTGAATTCCAACTTTGTGCCCCCTGCTGCCAGCTCCTGAGCTACTGAACAAGGCTGGAGAAAAGCCCATAGCCACGTTGGCTAGCTTCACTTTACAGGGATGATTGCCAGACCCAAGAAGGTCTTAGTGCTGCTCGCAACCTCTGAACTCATTTCCCCTTTCCCGAGCCCAGTGGTTCCCAAAGTGGAGTCCCTGTTCCAGCACCACTTGGGAGCTTGTAAAAATTGCAAATTTTGGGCACCTCCCCAGACTTGATTGCATCAGAAACTTCCAGAGGAGGCCCAGACTCCGGTGCTTTAACAAAGCCCCTGGTGGTCCTGATGCGCAGGGCAGCATGAGAAACACTGACGTGGTCCATTCAGCTCCATTCTGCGACTTCCCACACGTAACGCTCTCCCCCATACTCTTCTTACTCAAACCTCATGATCTTTCAAAGGCTCTCACCACCACATCTACCAGCCACCTACCCATATCTGCATTAGCATACAAATAAGCCATTCATAACAAATTTCCTTAGGAAAAGTTGTCTAAATAATGCCGCTATATAGCTCTACAATGTTCTCTCTTGAACCCACCCCTGTTGAGTTTTGTTCAAATGGTTTCTCTAAAAGTGCTCTTGATAAAGGTCACAAGTGACCTCCAAATCCAGTGGCCAACCCCAATAGTCATTTCTCAATAATTCATCTTATTCAAGCCAGCAGCAGTCAGCAAAGTTGATTGCTCTCCTTCTGGAATGATTCCTTCCCTTGCTTCTGGCACAAGGTTTGTTGGTTTCTTGTGCTTTACTAACCACCCCTTCTCCATCTCCTTCCCAATCTGTAAACTTTGGAGATGCCCGGAGCTCCATTCTCAGATCTCTCCTCCCCTCTCTCCACTTACTCTGTGGATGATTCCTGCAATCCCATGGCTTTAAAACTATTTATGCTGATTATACTCGTTTGTTTCTTCAGCCCCAACCTCACTCTTGAACTCCAGACTATTATATCCAACTGCTTATGACATATCACCACATGAATGTCTGAAAGGCAGTTCAAACTGGGCGTGCCCCATTCTGAACTCTGATCCTCTCCACCAGCGTTTTTCAACCGCTGTTCCGCGGCACACTAGTGTGCCGCGAGATGTTGCCTGGTGTGCCGTAGGTGCAGACAAGACAAGAATTTTATAATTTTTCACTATTTTGTTTACTTAATATTTCATAATAAAGTAATTATAAAATACTTTCTTTGTGTTTATTTGATTCCTATTCAAGAGAATTACTTTATATATAGTCAATATAGGCACAGAGTTAAATTTTTTAACATTTTCTAATGGTGGTGTGCCTCGCGATTTTTTTCATGAAACAAGTGTGCCTTTGCCCAAAAAAGGTTGAAAAACACTGCTCTCCACCAACCATCAAACCTGCTCCAGTCTCAATCCTTCCATCTCAGCAAACAGCTGCTCTCAGTGATTTAGGCTAAACTCCCCAAATCATTCTTGACTCTTCTTATTTTTCTCCTATCTCACATCTGACCCACCAGCCACTCCTGTTGACTCTACCTTTAAAATAGTTCCAGAATCCCAATCACCACTCAGTCCTGCTCCCATTGATACCACCCTGGTCCAGCAGTTGCCGACCGGTGGTCCACGGACCACTGGTGGTCATGGGGTCCAAAAAGTTGGCGACCACTGCCTAATCCAATCCACTGTCTTCCTGGATGAAATGTAATAACCTCCTAACCACTGAACTGTTTTCTCCTTTGCCCCCTCATGCTGTTTTTACTAACATCAGTCAAGTTGATCCTTTAAAAACATAAATAAAATCATGTCACTCCTTTATTTAAAACTCGCCAATGATTTTTTACATCATTGAAAAAAAAATCCAAATTCTTCACTGTAACATAAAAAGGTCTTTGAATACACTGAGGACCCTAGTGTTTACAACTAGCTGCTTTCTTTGCCAATCACTCTTCCTCCATATACCAGCGTGGTTCCCTCGCTCATGTCCTTCACACCTCTGCTCAAATGTCATCTTCCCGAAGAGGCCCTATTGGACTCCAGCCCTCCTCCTTCCCTATCTCCTTATTCTGCTTTATCTTTTTCACAGCGTTTACCACCTTGTGACTTAGTCCATATTTGTCTATTTGATTATTTTTTTTTTGTTTCTCCACTCAAAGAAGATACAGAAGAACAGAGACCTGATTTATTTAGTATCTCCAATGCTTAGAACAATGCCCAACACATAGCTCTCAATATCAGTGAATTTATTTTATAACAAATTATGGATAAATTAATTTCTAAGTATACTTTAAGATTCAGAATTAATTTTTAATCTAATTTTAATTAGTCTATTCTATTAATTAATTTAACCTAACAGAAAAGAGGGAGAACTATAATCGTATACTGAAAAGTCTTTATAGCTCCTTTTCCTTCTAGTCAGAAGGAGAAACCTGCATTTCCCCAACTCCTCCAGGAGAGAGGCTTTGACTGACAGTCGGGAAATTATTGCAGCTCCCATCACAGGCGCAAGAATGCAGTATATTCTTGCAGAAGAGGCATGGCCTGCGGCACGGAATGGGGAATAGATGGATTAGAAAGGTTAGGCTTAGCCTTTAAATCCTGTCAGTTGCGCTTATTACACAGGACTGGCATTCACGATAACCTCCCAGGCTCGGTAATGCCAAGCACAAAGGCAGATATCACAGAGAGACAAGAGGAATATTCCACAGCACATGCAACACGTCCAGCGGGCCCCCTTGGACAACCCCTCCCCTGGAAAACCCCTGCCGGGATGGGTTTTGCCTTTGTTTCACTGTTCTGTAGTTGTTGTTTTCTCCCTCATTATAACATAAGTTTTTCTAAAAGACACTGCATCACAGAAAATCCCTAGGTGCTCTTAAAGGATCCACTTTGAGAAAAAAAAAAAAAAAAAAAAAAAAAAAAAAAAAAAACACACAAAAAAACCTACCAGGAAAGCTGGGTCTCACAGATGGAAACAGAACCAGCGTTTGCAAGTGCCAGTTGCACTAGAGTCTTTTCAGTTCAACTTTGTTGATCTTTGGTGACTGGTTCTGGTGTATTTTTTCCCAGAGAATCTGTGTTTGGGCAGGAATACAAAGGCTTACAATTTACAGTATCGTGAATTTGTCTGTCACCTGCCAAGAATCATTGCCTGAGGAAGAGCCTCCTGCAGAAGGAAGGGCTCTCAGACAAGCCCATGTACGTAGGACAATGGAGGAAGCTAAGGTCCAGTCCTTCAAAGCCTATGCGGGTCCCATTGAGGCCTTTCAGAAACAAATGTCCATCTGCATCCAGTCTGGCACTCAATGCAGGACAAATGGGAGGACGGGTCACTTGAGGACCACCTCCAGGGAGGGAGGGTGTCCCCAGAGAGTTCAAAGCTCAGACTGGAGGAGTAGAAGCTAGTGTTTAATATTTTGATACATCCTGTCATTCAGCAAACTGGAGGAGCTTAGCTCCGAGGGAGGCATCAACAATGGACAAAACATGTCTGAATAACAACTGAGATCAAGAAATACAAGATGCTAAAAGCCGAGTGGTCCAGGACGCAGTGGGGAAGATGAGAAACATTACAGACACCTAACGGGGCTGGGCACTGCCTCAGTGATGCTCACCTGCTCACGTGGAGGCAGGGCTGGGGTTTCTCCAGGTTAAACAAAGAGGCTGTGGTACAACCTCAGGCGGCTCACGACTACCTCTTGGCACGGAATATTATCTCCCGGAACCCACTCCTCCCTGACCTCCACTGGCAGAATGCAGAGGGGTTGAACTTGAAAGAGAGGAACTGGACAGTGCTAGCGGGGGAGCTGACCATCTCATGGTAGAACCTCTCCTGCAGCTTATGGCAATCTAAGTCATGTGACCTGAGGAAAGGTCCACTGCCGAGCCCTACCTCAAATGCTGAGACTCCACTCCTTCTGATCAACTGGGATAAGACCCGGCCAGGGGCTGCGGTCAGGGTGACCCTGGCTGGTGTGACAAAGCAATAGAGGTAAGAGCGACAATTGCAGTAGAAGGTGGTGGTCTCTAAAGTTACCAGTGAGCGTTATTAATCAGAATTCAGTCATGAAGTGGTCCCATTGCCCTGCTGGAAGGAGGCACCCTTGAATACTTAGCCCAAATGTGTCCTGAGCAGCAGGGGTGGTTAATGAGTAGTTGAAACTGCAAACTCTAATGAAGACCCTTCACGCTAGAACAAGATTAGGGCTCCTGGTTCCAGTTCCTCAGGCAGGACATGGGACCCGAAACAAATGGAAGAGGAGTAAGGGGTCTCGGGTGATTCTTTGCACAAGGCATGATGGGATAGGCCACCTCCACCAGTGCCCAAGCGTCGCTTGGCTGGCTCCGGGAGGGCAGGGCTA